CATCCATTTGTTCAGCCCACCAGCTCGAGCGCCGTCCCTAAAAACCATTCAGATGGTATCTCTCCTCTGTCTGTCCCAGCCCCGTCAGCTATTCAACCAGTCAGCTTCTAGCCTTGCCGAGCCCCCCACGGCGACCTCCTTTCCTGCCTCAGGATGCAAAATAGTGACGTTTCTGCCAGCACAGTCAGACTGTCCTTGTTCTAATGTGTTTGTGCATTGAGGAGATTACAAGGAAACAGCTTGCCAGGGGCAGGCAGCTGCTGTTTCCTACAGCTTGCAGCAGTTTCGGGGGACAACAGCAGGATGCCATGGGGGAGAAGCGGCTCGGCGGCCCTGCTGCTGTTCTCTGGCAGGGTTATTGGGCGATACAAGGCCAGGTAGGATTAGGTTGTCGGGGTCTGCTGAGGCTTGCGGCTCAACTCTAAGCCAGCTGAAATGTGGTGTCACTTTTGTTTGTGTGTCTTTGATTGAAAATTTTGTTTTGCTTTTCTTTATTTTTCCCTTTTTGAAGAAGTTAAAACATAGAATTTTATTGATGGATTCATATTTATTATTTGGACAAATAATAAATAACATTTTGTTTCTTTATGCTCTTCTCTGTGCACCTTGGTGGTAGGTGAATCTCTGTTCTGGTGCGCTTTTTTGTAAGATTTTGGTGCTTTATAGATCTGCTACATGCGTTTGTGATTTTTCCATGTCACAGATCTTACTTATGACTTAGGAAAAAAAGCATTTGCTCAAGGCTGTGTGAGCTAATTGTCGCATTCTCTGTACTCTAAGAGGCTTTCAGTAGAATTCAGCTATAAAGAAGAAACACTGTGTTACTACACAGACCTCTTTTTCAGAGGATTGCAGTATTCCTTCACCAGAGTTGTTGTTGGGGTTACTTTGTGTTTCCCACCGTGCTGAGCATGAAGGTAGACAACAGGGTCACGTTTTGTCCATTCTTCTCTCAGAGTGGATGGCTTCCTGTTGATACTCTGTCTTAATAGGAGGTCTATTCAACAAAGAACAATTACAGCTGCATGACATTTTCAGTATTCCTTTTTTAGCATTAGTATGAAGCATGTTCTTTGTTTTGTGGCCGAGCTACGTGGCTTGCTGGCAAGCTGAGGAGTGTTATTACCCGATTTAAAATTAAACAATGATTCTTTTCCTCCTGGTTCTTGAGTCAGCGTGGGAGAAAAATTCAAAGCTAGCTTTATTCCTCTTTATAATCCCTCATCTGAGGGGAGTTAGAGGTATTTTTAGCTTGAGTCCTGCAGTATTTTCAGTTTGTATGAGTCTTTGCACAAATTCAGAACACAGCAGGCATGGCAACCTTAATGTATGAGGATATTTCTTCAAGCTTTTATTAAAACAAACAAATATATAATCTATCAGTAGACAATATAAAAATGTTTTAGGCCCCTTCCCCCTCATTTACCAGGTGTTTGTGTATTTACGTCCCCAGCTGATATGTAGGACATCAGCATGACAATAGAGTATTGATAGAGCGAGGATGAGTCACTGATTGAGTGAGGCCTTTGGGGGTTACATACTCACAGGCAATGTTGACAGACCTGTTGCACTTGAGAAACTTGAGAAACTTTCACTTTATGTTCCTCGTACTCTGTTGTGCGCACATACAGCACACACATCATATCCTGTGGTCATGTTACAGTCATTCTTTTTCTGATGTTTACTCGTGCCCAAGTATGCAGTTGAACGGAATGCGTCTTTCTTCTACATATAAGGTATGATTTGATGCAACCTACTGCATCATTAGCTGTCTGACCGCACGTTTGTGAAATTTGTCAACACTTTACAGCTTTTTTTCTTTCTTTTTTTTAAAAAAGGGGGGAAAAACTCATCATTAGAAACATTTGATTTAATTATTTCTGGTCACATACATTCATATGCTTCATCTGGCCATCTAAGAATCCTTGATTAATGAGCTTAACAAATGTTGTCAGGCTTATGCTCAAAGGTCAGTAAAGTGTCTGAAGTGCTATAAACATGTGATACAACATAAAACAAGTAAGCTTTTGCTCAAGGGTTCATTGTTTCTGTCCACTTAGACTACTACTGTCCTAAAACAATGACTGTTTTGTGGTTCTGGGTAAGCATTTTAGCCAGGTTTTGAAATGTGACAGGTCATAGATGTCAGTTTGAACCAGCAGGGAAGAAGATGGCAGTCAGGCATATAAGACAGGGCGCGTCACCTCGGAGTAACATGGGAGGGGACAGGTGTGAGTGATGTCTAGATGCTCACGGAAGTCGTCACTCCCTCTTGCATTCCTGCTCGAGCCTAGAAACATGCCACACAGCCTTGAGCCACACTAAAGACACTTCCTGTCACCTTACAAGAAACTAGAGCTGCGGACAGATTTGCTTCGCTCTCACACAGTGTTCATCAACCGGGACTGGATAAAGCTAGATTTTGTGCAAGACTCTAATTCCTGGATTTCTTTAGCAGTGTGGATATGGGTGGTAGAGCAGAAGTAGTGGCGAGCAGGTTCATGTCCAGCATGCCCAGCACGCATTTTTCACGCTCCACACCGAGCCGCTTAAGGCTCCGTCCACAGACTCCATGGAAGGGCAAGCGCGTGAAGATATCCTTTCACAAGATGAAAGCCAGGTAGGTGTGTGAGAGTTAGAGACGGAGCTGGCTCACAAGAGCTTTGGTGAAGGTTTGGAGTGCTTTCTGTTCTTGAAGAGAAGGAGTGCAAATGACAGGTTCTCCGGTAAAAAGATCAAAAAGTTCTGTGAGGTTACGGTAGATTTACTTTTCGTTGAGAAGTCTGTACTTACAGAAGAGTTTTAAAAAGGTGACTCTCTTTAGATTTTTATCCCAACATGTATCACATGTGCTAACTGTGTCACAGCTTACAGTCATTTGTGAGATATAAATGAGTTTCACCTGGGTCACATATGAACTGCCAGGTTCGTATGTGATGGTTTTCATAGCTGCATGTGAGTAATATAATGAAGCAGCTTTTGTGTGAACAATAGCCTTTATTACATCACTGATTATTTATTTCATGGATGTATCATTATTCGCTTTATGGTCAAACTAACATTCATACTCCTATTGGCTGGAGAGTTTTGATCAGCTTCTATAAAGTATCTTTAATTATTAATTTATTCATTTAAATCTGAGTGGAGCTGGTAGAGGTAGGTGTTACCAAGATGGTGTGTATTATCTAACTCTCGAACAACTGAAAATTAGTCATCAGAGGAGACGGGAATATGTAACTGTCAAAGTTAACACATATGCCAGACATCTGCTTCTCAAGCACTTGCAAACTGCATAAAACAGTTGGTCTCTAGCATGCTTTGTGGTATTTTCCATTGTTTTCTGATCGTTATCAGCAGACAAACGCATTATTGAAGGCTTGTTGCCAGGATCACTGAAACTATAAAACTGTTGGGTTAGGGGCAATCGTGGCTCAAGAGTTAGTAGTTCGTCTTGTAATCGGAAGGTTGCCTGTTCGAGCCCTGGCTCCGACAGTCTCGGTCGTTGTGTCCTTGGGCAAGACACTTCACCCGTTGCCTACTGGTGGTGGTCAGAGGGCCCGGTGGCGCCAGTGTTCGGCAGCCTCGCCTCTGTCAGTGCGCCCCAGGGCAGCTGTGGCTACAATGTAGCTGCCATCACCAGTGTGTGAATGTGTGGATGACTGAATGTGTAAAGCGCTTTGGGGTCCATAGGGACTAAGAAAAGGGCTATACAAATACAGGCCATTTTACCATTTACTATCAATCTGTGAAGGTGGATTTATGCATCATTTTTCACAATTAATTTAATGTCTGTTGTAAATAATTCATGATCTGGATTCTTCACGGTTGTGATATATTTTGGGAAGAAACATTGTTGGGAAATGTTCCTAAAATTGCTGAAATATTTGAGATTTTCCATTGAAATTCATTGGATTAGGGTAGGTATTGTCAGCTAGTCTGTATCCTAGTGTACTGTATGTGTGTTGGAATGTAGCCTCACTAGTTTCGAGATCAGAAAACAAATGGCAAGAGGCCATTTGTTTCACAAATCTCTGTGGAGCTGTTACTTAATACAATTTGACAATTACGAAAAAAAATTTTTATTTTAATTCAGTAGAACCACTTCTAATAATAATCTGTTTTGCAAGAAATGAACCGATCATTGAAAATCTGTTGAAACTCACACCTCTGCCACCACCACCCGAGCCCCGCCTCCTCTGAAACTGGTTAGGAACACTACAGCACAATATGGAACAAAACTAACCAGACCTTGCTTTTGTTGACTGGTGGCTGATGTGGGCATCTGTGAGGAACATTTCGATAACCTCACCAGAATTACAGCTGAAAGTATGACGAGTATTTTCTGATAAATATTACTTAATGATAAGCCACCAGGCATTCCACAGACATTCCCCAGCATGCTTTGGTATGAGTTTTAACATATGGTAACTTGGAGAATGTGACCAGGCTGCACACCAATGGAGTGAATCATTGATGTGCAGTCAGGCTGCTTCCTGACTACCTACTTCACTGGGTCACATTTAATACTGGAGGGTGCAAGTGCATCTGCCAGCGGAGTGTGTCCTATTGTTGGCACAGAGCAGAAACCCTTGTTTTTCAGTACTGTGCAGGAAATACAGGCTGCTTTTCCTCGCACGTGTACGGAAAGGAGACTCCGATCAGATTTATTCAATATAGAGCTGCATATTTGGTCTTCCATTGTTAGTATGTGACATTCACAGAAGGGCGTAACCCTGAGGAAAGCAGATTTCACATTGTTACAGTGACATCTAGTGGATTTGTAGGGTACTTTGCCTCCGGGCCACATTTCACAAGAACAATAGAGACCCCCCTTTGTGTCCATTTGCGCCGGCTCTCTCCACACTCCTGCCCTCCCTCCATCCCACTCCTTTTGTTTCTCCATCTCTCTGGGCTCTTCCGGAGGATTCGCCCTCCCTGCACCACCCCAGTCTTTGCCATTCATCCTGCGTTTGTATGTGCCTTTGTGTTTCTATCCATTTGTTTGCATGCATGCGTGTGATTTCTTTACGTGTGTGTATGTCTGCACCAGAGATCCCAGCCCCACCGAGATGAGCGTGGAGCCTTGGGCCAGCCCGCAGGACCAGGCAGCCGCTGAACTCTCTCACAGCGAACACACGGACACGCCGCCCTCTCAGGATCAGGAGCAGCGCCCTGATAAACTCTGCCTGGACTCGTTCTGGAGTGAGGTTGAGAATATCCAACAGGGGAGTGGCTACGCAGACGACTGCAGCAGGAGAGATTCGAAACACTCCGAAGGTAAATACTGCAGACCCTGCACTGATTGAGGAGTGATGTAAAGAAAGAGCTGAAAAAGACACTCTTTAGTTTATGTGATAGCATTATAAACATTTAGTGCTTAAAGCAGCTGCTAGTGAAGAGTCTCCACGAAATGATGCATTAGCCATGGCAACATATCAGGTTTCTCTCATGCAGCAAAGTAGCGCTCGTCACCATGACAACACCATCAAACAGTCTGTGGCAGAGACTGTTTTATATGCAGGAGCCAAATAGCCATTCATGAATATTGACTTCTAATAGGAGTGCTTTTTTTGTTATGCCCATTCAGATGATCTGATTGTGTTAATTCAGTGGATCCTTTTCATGTCGCGTTGTAACAGGGGTGCTCTTTTAATTTTGCTACTAATGAATAGTGAGCGTGTGTTCAGTTTTATGTTTCTTATGGCTGAACATTCACTAACTGCTGTGTTAAGTGTTGAAGAGCAATTGTTTTAAACTTCACACTCAGCCTAAGTTATCATTTTAAAGCCTTTGGACCACCTACAGTTGTTTATACTTCAAGTTTAGTTATTATAGATCACTTAGACTGCAGCCAACTGAGTGAACTGTTGGCCTTGTAATATGTTCCCTATTTAGAATTATGGATATAAAGAGAAGTTTCATTAAAGTTTTTATTTAATCTATTGGATTGGTTTCCTGGTACCCAATTTTTAAGCAAATATTACCAAATAGTGTTCTAGTAAAGCTACATAGTTAGTTGTAGTAATTTAGTATTATTTGAAATACACAAAACTGCTTCAGAGTTAATAGGGTTGAGTCATTCTGCATGTTTAAATGCATTTTATCCACGTCATGTCGTTGTTGGTGTTTTTACATCCCAGTGTTATATTTACGTGTTTCAGAAGGAGAGCAGGAGGAGCAGTGGTTGGCCGATGCTGGCTTGTCAACCCTCATCAGTGAGGACACTGAGACAGTAGACAAAACTGCCCTGCTGTCCACGCTGACCAAGACGCAGGCTGAAGCCGTTAAGCGTCGAGTAGAGACCTACACGCTCCGCAAACGGAACAAGCCGCCACCGCGTGACGTTCGCGACATATTCAGCTCACAGGTCAGGATGCTCAAATACTGAACCCTTGACTGTATCTGAAGAAGGAAATTGTGCGGTAATGATTGTTTTACATCGTAGAATATCAGCCACTAATTAAAGGAAAGCAGGTAATTTGCATGCAGCTTTTCTTGATACACGCACGTCAGCTGGTTTCCCGGGTTTCAGCACTGCTGCAGAAACTGTGTGAAAGTTACTGCAAGTGCAGAATATCTGTTTCTCATGCGTTAGATTATACAGTAAAATGTAAGAGACTCAGTTCCCAGGTAACTGTCGTGACACATTCAGGGTCTTCTATTGTTCCAGCGATGCTGTCTTGTTTGATGGAAGAACTGATCTGTCACAATGAAAGCAAATCACATGTAAAGGCCATGCTTTGTCCTCAGAGACAGCCTTAGAGGGGAACAGAGACACTGTTCTTCTGATCCTTATCAGTGCTGTATCAAAGGAAACACCCTGCACAGACCACGTCCCTTCACTTAGTGGACACAATTAAACACACACTTCATTCCCAGGGGTAGAGAACACACATAAAACTGATATTTATTAGTGTGACTTATTGTGGAAACTAACATGTCCGTGATCTTCCTCTACAGACCCTCGAGTCTCAGCATAGTGAAGACCCAGCCCAAAACAGCATGGCATCGGTAGCCAAGTCACCTTTATCAGGTAAGAGCTGCTCACCGTACTAAAAAAAATTACTAAAGGGAATAACAAAGTGGTGGAGGCACTCTTTAGTCTATTCTAAAACACTGGCTGAAGTCATTTCAGTAAAATAATTTAATCAAACTTTTCTTTGAGTACCTGACTCAAACCAACCCTTTGTTTGGATTTTCCATCACCATTGTGTCATTTTGATAATGACTCACATGCTTAACTGCAGTAGATGATGAAATCAGGTGAGCTTTGGATTTCTGGGGGCCTGACGAAGGTAGCTCAGGCCACGGCTGCGTCATCTGTTTTCTCATTGGTTCATATTAATCCCTGGATAACCACTGGCCTTTGCTTAATGCTGCCTGTGTGTATTTTTTTTGCCAACTTGACAATCCTGTTTCTCATTTTTCATTTTTTCAAAAGTATTGAACACATGTGACATCTGATAGCGAGGAACAGTCACGATTAGCACAATAGCATACTTGTCTTACAGATGAACTTTTGGCACAGTTAAAGGTGTTGTGACGTCAGTTTTTATGTGCTAATGCAAGGATTAGTTTCCCTGATTTAGCAGATAAGACACAAAGTCTGTTCACAGAACATTTCCTCATATCAGGGCTTCCTGTACATTTTTGTCCTTATCTTTCTTTTCTTCATATTATACATTCACAGGTTTGTTTTGTGACATTTCTACAGTGGTCTTGCCTGATTGAACTAATAGACCGGTGTTTGTTTATGGAAATGTTTTCTGCTCAGCTGTGACCCCAGAGCATCAGCGAGGTACTCCCAAAGATGAATACTTCATCACTGATGTGGCTTATTGCGAACAGGCCGTCATCCTCATCAAACAAGCCAAACTGCCACAGAATAACAGCCAGCGCAGGAAGGAGGACGGCACCCTGCCCGTAAGCACCCAAACAGTTTTCACCTCTCACACTCATTTTCTAGGACAGCTGCAGCTTTCAGAAGACTTCTGGGGGTTTAAATATGTTGCTTTCTGCTTTATAAATGTTCTGGTGATAAAATATATCTACTTGTACATTTATTTCTTTTGTTAAGAAAAACTGTTGGCAGAAAAGATTTCAAAAGAATAAGAGAGTGCTAGTAACAGCGTGATTTGTGCATCAAGTGGGCAGTTTAATTCAATTTAAGCTTAGCTGCAAAAGAACTTACTGTCACTGCGCTGATGAGCGGCTTGTTTCACTCAAACCTTCATGAAGATAAATGACAAGAACAGATTTTTTCTAAATGTTACAGCATGTTTTGCAGAAAGCTTTTAAGTCTTACAACATCTTGAGACCTCAAATATTCAACAGCATCACCAACCGGCAGGCTGTTATTAGAAAAAAAACTGTAATTACAACTATATAACAAAAAAATCAAGGGGTGAGGGCCACACTAACAGAAACCAGTGTACGTTTCAGTCGCTGATTGGATTAAGACTTTCATGTAAAATCACATGCACACAAACACACACACAAATGTTATTATAAGCCATTTGCAACAATCAGCGCTCTGCTGTTGCTTAGATAACAGGGTTAAGGAGATAAGGAATGATGGAATTAGCCAGAAACAAAAGGAGAGTTGTTGTGTCACAGAGTCCAGCAGCTTTATTTTTCTATTTCAGGCTGAATAAGTTTGCTCTGAAAAAGGGAAGAATTAGTGGTTTTAATTAGTGAGGTTGCATGTACTAACACACTACATAGAGATAAACGTATGTAAAGTACATTATAATTACTGTATTATTTACAGAAATTAATTTGCATGTCATGTTTGTTCTTTTTATTTTTCCACTTTCCTTTTCTTTCATTCTTTCCTTCCTATTTGTACATTTTCTGTATTCTCTCCCTCTTCACCTCCACTTTCTAACTTTCAACTGCACTCTGGCCCCCTTCTGCTTTTCCTCTCCTTCCACTATCGCCTCCCCAGCGGGTCATCTGCCCCAAGTGCCGTCTAGGAGTGACTCGTATTCAAGATCTCTCCCACGCTGACATGAAGAAGGTGCGTCAGTTGGCTCTCATCGACATGACGGCGCTGTGCGACCTCCTAGAGCTGGAGGTCAAAAGGCACAAAACTGGCAAGAGGAAAAACCCAGGTGTGATTTCGTTCACCATCAGGTCATTACAGGAAAAGCAAACATAGAAATGTTTGAGGCATACTGTGAGGGTAGAAGCTTTAAAAATAAACACACTGGAGAGAAATTAATGATTTTAACTGTATGTTGTGTGTTTAGATTTTGCCATCTATATGAACCTGACAGCTTTTTCAGTTAACTAGTTTAACAGTGGTCGTGTCCGGTGTACTGACGAGTTGAGTATATTCAAAATCTTTTTTACATTCACACAGAATAGCACGAAAAACTAAACTAAACTGTGGTTACATATTCTTTAGAAACAATCAGTCATAAATAACCTTCAAAAATGTGGGTTAGCAACAGTATAGCAAAACCGTGACCCGTCTCACACAAAACATTGAGACTTTGCCCCGTTTCTGTTCAGGCCAGATGTTTAAATGAGGGCAGGCATGACTGACTCTTTGGTCTTCCACAGAGAGCCCGCTCTTTGGAGTCCCACTGGCCACGCTACTGGAGAACGATCAGAAACTGAAGCCCAGCACTTCGATTCCTCTCTTGCTGCAGGAAGTAAGAACTCTGAAAAATATCTGTGTCATGTGTCCTAAACGACATACATACTGTTTGTGCATATTGTGTTCTATATATGATGTTTATGATTCAAATCTGTTGATCACACAAACTTCACAAACGTCTTCGAATCAAGATAAGGCAGCCTCGCTTCTGTCAGTCTGCCCCAGGGCAGCTGTGGCTACAACTGTAGCTGCCTCCACCAGTGTGTGAATGTGAGAGTAAATGAATAGTGGCATTGTAAAGCGCTTTGGGTGCCTTGAAAAGCGCTATATAAATCCAATCCATTAAAATCAGAAAACAGGCCCCGTGTCCTCTGCATCTGAAACACTTTGACCACACCCTGTTTGTAGCAGCAGTTACTGAGTATAACCAGCAGAGGTGATCGAGAGATTCTTATCTACTGATGCTCAACTCTGCTGATGTCTTTCTCTCTCTCTCTCTGCAGTTGTTGTCATTTCTGGAGAAAAAGGGAATCGATTCGGAGGGGATCCTGCGTGTTCCAGGATCTCAGTCCAGAATCAAGGTACAAGATCAGGGTCTACACACCTCATTACTGTAATAAATAACTGGATGTTTAAAGCAAAAAAAAAAAAAAATTCAAACCAGCCAAAATATTGACACTGTAAAATGTCAGAAATTCCAGATCAATAGAGGAAAATCAAATGGCTTCTGCTGACTTTAACTACAGCTGACATTTAGAAAAACAAGGTCCAATGAGACAAAATCGATACTGCTTTTGCAGCTGCCGGTGTAAAGTATTTAATTTCTTATACATTCAGGTGACGGTGAATCAATTAAATATCAGCAGCCACTAGAGGGTGCCAGTTAGCTCTAAAGAAGGAAAAACAGCTAGAACAGATTCTGTGGTTGATAACAGCGATTACACAGAGAGATGTAACTGGATCGGTATTTGTTGAGTTTATTGTTTTGACAGCAAATCAAACAGTTAAAATGTATTAATGCATTTAATGCTTACACAGCGTGACCCAACAGCGTCCACTGGCATTTGGTGTTTTGATTTCTGCTAAGGAAGACTGAAATACTAACACATGAGTCCAAAATGCAAAAAGTACAAAGACCATCTGACTAAGATGAAGAGAGGAATATATACTTGGTGACTGGAAACAAGGCACAGGTGGGAATGATTAAACAGGTGAAACTAATGAGGGCGAGGCAGACAGTCATTAAGGAGGAACAGGAACAAAAACAGGAAGTAACCAAAGAGTAACTTACAGTGAAATATGAAGACAGAGACGGGGAACACAGATTAAGATGAACAAAATTAGCACAAACATTATTCTATGAAAGTTTAACAAAATTAATTTGATTGAAATTATAAATGGATTTTAGTTTGTCTAGTCATCCAGTTGGTCCTGTTACATATTTTCTGCATGACTTTTCAAACACAATTAGTGCTAAAAATAGAAAAATGTTTGCAGCCTTACACAAGCCACAAATAAAGACTGTTGTCAGTTAAATGTGCACATATACAGATGCACTTGTGATGAAGTGTGTGAAAGTACATGAAACACCTTTGACACCTTTGTCCTGAGGTCCATCATCATGAATACATAATTTATTACTATAAAGGTTTTAAATGCATACAGGTCAATGTGCTTTCAAATTGTCAACGCTGAGTTATGCTGAAAATTTTAAACGATGACTGATCCTCGACATTATCTGTGCCGGGTCGATAGTTTGAATCAACATTTATGTCACGTAGCTCTTAAACCGCCGTCTTTTGTGTCTGCAGCTGCTGCAGCAGAACTTGGAGGCCAACTTCTACTCACGGCATGTCAGATGGGATGAAGTGAGTCCGAACGACGCCGCTGCACTGCTCAAGAAGTTCATCCGGGAGCTGCCCGCTCCTCTGCTCACCGCGGAGTACCTCAACAACTTTAGCGCCGTCAGGGGTCAGTCAATACTAAGTGACAGCTCTTGCTGGATAAAACATCTTTTGTATTTGTGTTATATTTGTGGCACAGTGTTGTAGCACACTGTTGTATAATTAAGTAATTTGGATTGGACGAGAACTGTGTCTGATGTTTTAATCCTTAAAGGTTTTCATTTTTAGGACAGGGCTTTATATTTACAGTGTAGCCATACAGTCAATCAGCATTTCACCGCTAAAGTACCCGAGTATAACTTCATTCATTCATTGTTGCCAGGTTGTATCAAATTACTGTACAGAGCATCAGCTCTTCTTCCCCTCCTCTTCGCACTAATCTGCTGCCCACTTTCGCAGACAGCTCAGCAGGATTCACATCATAATTATCGAAGTCGCTTCACCTCGACGGCAGCGCCGTGTGACACTTATCTATTCTACTCTGGCTGAAAAATTAAAATTAAGATGAACAAGTTGATACCATTTTAAGAAGTATCCCTGCACTGCCACAAATACATGTGCAGTGACACAGCTGTACTGTAGATCAGTGCATATGCATTAGTTTCACTTTAATAAAAATACAGATTGATATTAATAGAATCTAGCTGGGGTGTAGCTTGCGAGGAGGATCACTGCGATGATGAATGATGTGCGACCGCAGAGACATAAGCTAACAAACCTAATGGCCACCTGTCACACTGTCATTAATCCTTAGACATACCATTATTCTTTGTCAAAGAGAGGAAATGAATTATGTGTGCGTGTGTGTGTGTTTGTGTGTGTGTGTCTTACCTACTTGTTTCTTCTTTTAGAAATCACAGAGCTGAAACAGAAACTCCACATGCTGAACCTGCTCATCCTGCTGCTGCCCGAGCCCAACAGAAACACACTAAAGGTAAAGACAACACAACACAGACACAAACAGTGAGTCGTGCTCTCAGACGCAGTAAATCCTTTTTGTTCTGGCAGCAATCCGTGCAGCTCCTTATTGTGGGCTTGTTCGATAATGGAATATGACTTTTCTTTTCACATACCACCTTTGTGCTTTTTATTTACTATATTTACTCACTTTAACTTGTTATGATTTCATTTAGGAGCACAGCTAAAACAGATCATTTTGATATATGTTAAGTCAAAGTCAAACTTTGTCTTTACGCAAAAAGGAGAAAAGTTCTTTTGACGGCATAAATATTAATAACTGTATATTGTTTTGTGCTAAAGGACTCACATAGTTTTAATTCTTTAGTCACATTTTTTTAATACTTGCAGCAACATTTCCAAAAAAGTTGTAATGCTGCATAACATGTAAATAAAATAACAGCAACAATGATTTAATCATTTGGTACTATATTTTAAACAGAAAATGTTCATCAAAGCAAATTTCATCAAAGCATTTAGAGATTCAGTGGCTTGCTTTAA